CTTCAACTTAAAAAAAAAAACAAACCCAACCCTCAGATTTATTACAAATACTGAAACTTATTTAATTTTTTGGGGGTAGTCAGTCCCGAGCCCCACCAGAGTCCTGGCACCTCCTCCTTGGGGCGGTATCTCTCTTTAGACCTGCATTGTACAAACCTTTTTTTAAAAAAGATTCCGTGTGCTTTTAGGTTTCTGTGAAAACGTCGTTTAAATGTAAAGTACGTGTTTGGATTTTAACTTCATACCGAGCTCTGTCAGTTTTTTTGTCTCAATAAAATTTTAGATTTATAATCCTGATTTATTTTTTTTTTCTTTTTAATTTATTTATTTATTTCGTTCGTTTTGTTTGTTTGTTTTTTATCTTCTCTACCCTCGGCTCCTTCCTCCAGGCTCTCTTCGGGCGTGAGGGGAGTGACTGGGTAGAGCAGGAAGGTGCTCCCTGAGCTGGGTTAGCTCGGATTCCAGGGGCTCCCCTGGAGCTTTGGAAGAGGTGGCAGCAGGTTCTGGAGCGGCTGGTCCTGATTTTTTTTGGCTTCCACCTGGAGGAGAGAGGTTTAGGCAGAGCCCTGAGCCGAGGAGACAGGAGGAGTAGCTGTGGTTTGGGACGTGCTTTGGTGTAGGAAGATGCTGCTGGAGGGTGTTCCTGGCCAGGATCCGGCTCCAGAGGTGGGTAAGTGGCCTTTAATTCCGTTCTCACCCGCACCTGGAGCACACCTGGTGGTTTTGGTGGGGTTTTTAGGGCTCTGGCAGCGGTTCTGGTTTGGCAGGAGGTGGTTTGGCTCCTTCCAGCCCTGGTGTGGATGTGCTGGAGGCCCTGAGCTCCCGGGTGTAAAGAGCAGAGTCCGTTCTGGAGTTGGGTGGTGGTTCCTGAGGGAGGCTGATGGTTCCTGACTCGGAGGTTCTGGTGTTTCCAGGCGTGCAGGACGGAGCAGGAAGGTTTTGGGTGGAACAGGGGCTGCAGAACTCCTGAGGGACCCGGTTGAAATCCAGGTTATTTGTGCCAGCACAGCCTGTACCCGGCAGGACAAGGAGATGCTGCCCTGGCCCAGCAGCAGCAGCAGCAGCAGCAATTAAACCTGGATTAATCACCAGAGAGGGCCAGGGTAACGTCCACTTAATTGAGCATCAGAGGCTGCAGGTCCCGGGGGAGCTCCGGGAGATCGATCCAGGTCGCTGGAATCTGCCGGTTGCTCCACCCTGGCGCTGGGAGGGGGGCTCTGAGGGCTCTGAGGGCTCTGCCGGGAGCTGCAGGATTTTGGGAGCTGCAGGATTTTGGGGACCTGCTGTGGCCCCTCCTGAGAAACCAAGGCCCAGGAAAACATCCCCTCGTGACCGGGGGAGATCCACGGGGGTTCCCCCGGGATTGGTGCTCCAGGTCGGAGCTGGAGCAGGGCAGGGAAGGGCAGGGAAGGGCAGGGGAGCCCCTCTGTGTCCCCACAGAGCCCGGGCTGGGGGCTCAGGAGCAGCTGGCCCTGGACCCGAGGGCTGGGCCGTGGGATCAGAGCTCCCAGGCCCCGCTGGAAGCCCGAGCCATTCCTGCTTGGGAACCAAAGGGCTGAGTGTGGGCTGGCAGGGGGCCCAGGGGAGGGACTGGCTGAGCTCCCCACGCTGGGCTGGGCACGGGCAGGGAGCCAGAGCGGGCTCTGCCAGCCTAGGAGGGCTGGGACACCCTTTGGAGCCTCCCCATGGGTTCGCTGGGCTGTTTGTGCACCGGGAATGACCCGTGGGAGCGCAGGGGCAGGGGCAGGGCCTGGGAACGGCAGTGGATCCTCCCCAGACCCTCCTGTCCCTCCTCTGCTCCCCCTCGGAAGGGCTGAGACCTCCTCGCACCATCACAGGGGTGGGGGAATCCCCGAGGGCTTTTCTGCCGGCTGGGATTGCGTCCTAACCCAGCCCCTGAAGGAATGTCTGGAATAAATCCCCTGGAGCCCAGGAAGAGGGAGGGGAAGCACCTCAGAGCGTGGATTTAATGCTCCTCATCCCCCTTGGCTGAGCTGGCCCGGACTCAGCACCAGGAGGAGATGGATCCTTCCAGTCCCACAGGGAGAGGTTTGATCCGCAGGAAAAGGGCATCTGGCCCACGGGAACACCCGTGGGAGGCTGTTGGGGAGCAGAGTGGGGCTGGAAGTGTGATTTTGGCCGGATCTTCTGGGTGTGTCCGGCCAAGGGAGGCCGTGGGGCTGAAAACCCCTGGAGAAAGGGATCTGCAAGGACAAAATACGTGGAGATGACGGGGTGTGGAGGCACCAGGCTGGCATCCAAAATGCCAGTTCCACACCAGCAACTCCCAGGAGCAGCTTTCCATCCCCGGCTTGTGTGGGGTCTCCTGGAGGGACCCCCCAGCACCACCCAAAATGCCCCCCCAGGGTCTCCAAAATGCCCCCCCAGGGGCTCCACTGCAGGATTGAGGAGTTGGAAACATTCCAGAGATGGAGGGTTTGGTGTCCTGGCTCCTGGCCGGGATTTATCCCCCAGGGAGAGGGGAAGGGCAGGAGCTGGGATAGAAACACCCTCAGGATCGGATAAACTTCGGCTCAGTCCCCGACGCCGCATCCAAGAGCTGCAGAGAAGGGGGGATGTGTGGAACAGCCCCTGGAGCTGCAAAGGCCAACGGGAGGACGGGACACCGTGTCCTGGGAATCCACATTCCAGGGAGAGGGATTGGACTTGGCCTCAGACCTGCAGCACCTCGACCCAGGGACCTGCAGGTTTGACCAGGAGCACGCTTTTCCTTGGATTTCTCTGGGAAGACCCTGCTGTGAAGGAAGGAAGGAAGGAAGGGAAGCAGCTGAGGCAGAGGAGGAGCTTTTCCTTTTCCTTCTCTTTCCATCCATCCCCTGCAGGACAACAGCGACTCCCTCCTCCCAACCCACTGCTGGAACTGGAGCTGCTCCCAGCCCCGAGCCAGGAGCTACTGTGGTGGGGGGGAAGAAGGTCTCTGCTTGGTTTCCCTGCCATGTTTAATCATCCAAATATCCAATAAAAACCCCTGGAGCCGAGGGTGGTACAGTGAATAAGCCGTTTTTATTTTTGTCCTGTGCTCACACAATCTCTCTTCTTTCCCTGACAGGTTCACAGATCATTCAAAGAAAAAAGTTTTCTAAGAGGAAAAATAATTTAAAACATACGCACAGGGCCTCCCTTCCAACCTCCCCACACCCACAGCTCCACCACTTTGTGCTTCGTCTCGCGCGTCAGGATCCCGGGAATCGGGGATGGACGAGCCCACCGGGGCCTCGGCGGGTCCCAACCACCCCTCAGTGCACTCCCAGATCCAACTGCTTCTCCCAAAAACCTGGAGAAAGTGCCCTTGGACACACGTGGCCCAGCAGGCAGCTGCTCCAGGCCTCCCTCCTGCCTCTCCAGGTGTCCTTCCCTTGAGTGACCACCCGAGTCCTCCCTCTCCCCTGGATCCCGTGCACAGGACTGGCTCGGAAAAGCCATTTTTTTTTTCTTTTTTTAAGCATTTTTTTTTTGTTTTGTTTTGTTTGTTTGTTTGTTTGTTTGTCTCTGTTGCTGGTAAAGTCCGAACACTCCCAGCTGTGCTATATGGAAATACAGCTTCTAGGATGGTCTCCCTGCGGAGACCGACAGTGATCAAGGCACTACCCCCACCCCCCTCCTGAAAACAAAGGAAGTCAGACCAACACCTTGGGACAGAAGAGAATCCTATAATGTGATCACACGGTTACACGGAATCTTTATGGCAAAGAGAACATTGAGCAGCTTTGAACGTTTGGGCTTCTCCCTTTTTGTTTGTTTTTTTTACTCAACACAAGCACTTCTAGACCCTAAAGGGGAGGAAAAAAAAAGGGGGGGGCTGAAGCCCCAGAAAACCCAAGCGCGGTTACGGGACAGGGACCTACAGCTGTCTAAGGCTCTAAGTGACAACCCACGGCCTGGGCTGGGATTGGGATCGGGATTTCACCGCTCCCCTTGTGCTGTTGGGGGCCCTGGAGGCCCCCCCAGATTCCTCCCCAGGCAGTCGGCGGGAGAAGCCAGGGTTGGCATGCAGGCTCTGCGTGCTCCGAGGGTGCTGGGGACCCGGATCCTGCTGGATCCCTCAACCCTCTCCAGTCCCTCTCTCCCCTTCCCGAGGCATCACAGCTCCTCCTCCTCCTCACAGCTTTCCTGCCAGGCTGGTTCTCCCACCCTGGGAACGGTGTTTTCCCCCCCCTGCTCTGAGCTCCCCC